CATATTTCATACAAATTTCTCATTTTTCAATTAAATTCAATGAAAAGATTATTTAATTAAAAACATATTTTGTGTTCAAATTCCGGAAGTGCTTTAAAATAGTGAGAAAAAGTTTATTTAATTAATTATAAACTAAAATTTTCTTTTTCATTAGACTTTATATTTTGAAAACCAAAAAAATTAATTATAAAATAGAAACGAGAGACTGAAAAAATGGCAAAAATAATATTTTAATTAAACAAATCATTATTTGCGAGACAAAAAAAATCTCTTAACTTTTATTTTCAATGCAAACACACATCTAATGCTGTCTTTCAGTATATATTTGTAATACTTTTATCGCAATTCTAGTCTTGAATTAAATATAAATGAAAATAAAAGCTTTTTCCTCGACAAAGGCATTACCAGTGCTGGAGTACAACAGTCTATAAGATTAGACAAAAAAAATATATTAATATATTATACATATTAAACGGAAATAACAAATAGCGTGTGTTATCTCTGAATAGAAATTAATATTTTTTATATACTTTTATAAAAAGCATTTTTTCATTGATAAGAGACTCTGCGGTAGTTTTATGTCAGAATAATATAATCATATTCTATATTGACAATTTAATTATTTATAATATAATAATATGCATCAAAATAAATATACTAGGAATTATTTATATTATTTCCTATTCGCATGGCTTTTGTCAATGAGTTTTATATTAATTTAAGAAACGCTTGCATTTGATTACATAATAACTGAGATATAGATATCTGAAGAGTTATTTACAATATATTATACGAAAGTACAGTAAACTATATATCGATATTACATAATACGAATAGTTTGCACAAGATATTTATGGCAAAGTATATAAATTATAAATGTGAAATACATATACAATTGAAATATGGAAACTACTAATAATAACCAGACGTATTCAATAATTGATTGGCAAATATGTTGGCTGAATATCAACGGCAAAAATAGTGAAAAACTCGTTAAACTGTTCAAATCCTAAGCCATTTTTGTTTCGCAATCAATATTCCTGTTTATAAACACTAGAGTTTCCGGAATTGTATGCCTAGTATTGAGTGGAAAAATAAACTAGATACTAGATAATAAACAAATACTAGACACGAAAAATATTGTCTGTTTTTGTCATTACATTCAATATAAATGGCATCGAAATGATAAGAGAAAATTAAAGGGATATCTCTCTCCTAGTCAATAGGAAAGCCATAAAAAATGTATACATCTTTGTGTTTGTTGTAAATAAAAGATTAGATCGTTTTGAGATAACTTGCCATATATAAATCATATCAAAGCTCTTGAGGTGTGAGGTATGGGGTGACTGTTGGGGGCTATCAGTGGTGATTGCGATGATTGCTATTCACTCTGTGGTTGTCGTGATAGTGGCTGCGACCTACCGGCGCGTTAAAGCCCGGGGGCTCCACAGCGTAGTCCAGGAACTCAAACAACAATTGCGACACTTTTAGTGGACATAAACTGCGCTCAAAAGACAACAAACATTTGATTAGTCGCGTCTCAACACAGAGGACAGGCATGTAATGGTAAGGTATAGGGAAATGGACTAACCGGTGAACAAAATAAATCCATCGGAATGTTAGGGGAATGACGAATAGGTCCTCTTCGCGGAGTATGCCGTCCACCATCTGGTCGACCGCGAAGTCCAGCGTCATAATGGGCAAGATTTTGGGGAATCGGGTTCGCGTGGGTATGTCTATGCGGGTGCCGCTGATGCCGAGCGGGCAGATGGTGGTCATCTTGATCTGCGTGTGTTTGTCCATTGCGTGCAGTTCTTTGCGCAGCGACGACATGAGCCCTACCACTCCGTGTTTGGACGAGCTGTCGGTGATAATACACATGTAAATACCGTATTATAAGTAAATACACTCATAATCTAGTGATTGTAACAAATGGTCGTTAGTTGTAAAACCCTCGCAAACAGTGTCTGTCCACTCGAGCGAGTGGTCTATGGTTTATGGCGTATATACGCACCCGTAGGCCGTGAAGTAAGGGCTGCCCATAATGCCGGCCGACGAGGCGATGGCGACGATGTGTCCGCGACCGCACTCCTCCATCACCGGCAGGAACTGTTTCAATGTCTGCGCCAACGAAGACATAAAGACATTAACCATCAAAATATAATCATTAAAAATGTCATAAAAAGACTAATTATCATCGAAAAGATGTCCCAAAAAGCACGGACCCAAAAGTGTGACATAACGTTGACGTCAAACGTGTTGCGGATCTGTTGGTACGTGAGTTCGTTGAACGGCAGACACGGCACGACACCGGCGTTGTTGATCACCATATAGACGGCGCCCACCTGTTCGCGGACCTGTCGGGCCGCCACTTCCACCCGCTTCTCGTCGGACACGTCGACAGTCATGGCGTGGGCCACACCTCCCTGGGCCCGGATCTCGCGGGCCGCCTCCTCCACGGAATCCTACGGTAATGGCAGCGAAATGTCAGCTCATTTTGGGTCAATACCACTGGGAAAAGGGGGTCACAAAGTGATACAATGGGGGGCACCACACGAGTGATAACAAAGTTTGCGGTAAATATTTACTAATAGAGGGGTTCAAAGTCAGTATCAGATTACTACTAGACGTCTAGTGGGGGCAGGTATTCGAGGGGGTGTACGTATGGTAGCTATACATATGCAACTATTAACACTAAACGGGGGGTTAAAGGTAGCCATAAATATATGCTAAATTAGCATGAATAAAAATTTGATACACGTAACCTTGGTGATTTAAAAAAGACAAATATATTAATTAAAATGAATTTAATATTATAGTTAATAATAAGTGATTGTAAGTGGGGGGTAGGTGTGAGCGGTGGACAGGGAGGTATCGACACACACACACACGAGCACCACATACCCGGTCGACGTCCCACAGGACGGTGACCGCCGACAACTGTATGGCGAACCTCATGGCCAGCGCCCGGCCTATGCCACTGCCGGCGCCCGTGATCACCACCACCTGTCCGGTCACGTGCTTACGGGGCTGCGTGAGCACCCATTTGGCCATTTGCTGGATGAATATGAGCGCTATTTTGGCTAAAAGGGTGACCACTTCCGTGGCGAACAGGAATATGTTGAATAAAGACAATATCATGGCTATAGTGGTGGCGATCGACCAGTCGATAGGCAGCTGTTGTATTGAAATGGCTTTTCGCCGACGCGTTAACACATGTTTGAGTACTAAATGCTTTGAAATGACTATTGAATTGGATTTAATGAATGGGTTTTTGGTATTTAAAAAACACTTTGACTTCTATGAGCCGTAAATGTAAACAAATTTTTTTGAATTTTTAGATAAGTTTTTGGTGTTCATAAATAACGTGACGCTTATTGTCAGGGCCCCCCTCAGGGGGTGGAGAGTAAAGTTTTTGTTCATTTTTGAGCTAAAGTTTTTCAAAATTACTACATAAGTGTTTTGGTTTATAAAAGTTACCAGTATGATTTGAATTGATTCTAAAGTACCTTTGTAGTGTTAAGTAGATATTCATATATGTGTAAGCCTAAAACAAATGAAAGCTTTTTGCCATGTAGCGTTTACTGTATATGAAATATTTATGAAACTTCTATCATACTTTTATAATGAATAAGTTTAATAAAAGTATGATAGAAGTTTAATATATATTTCATATACAGTAAACGCTACATGGCAAAAAGCTTCAATTTGTTTTAGGCTTACACATATTTATATTTTATAGTAATTACTATTCACAGAGTTTATATTACCAAGAGCATTTATGTATTTATGTATTTAATTTTTATCCACGGATTTAATTTTATGGTGTATTCTAGATTTTTCAATTATAATGATTTTTATTTTATAAAATATACTTGGTAATTTATTTTTCTATAACCCCCAACCGCCTAATAACATGTTACGTTATCATGTATAATTATAAGCAGGTTATCTTATGCAATAACTATATTTAGAACTTTAAAATTTATCATTAGAATAAATTTACATGAAAACTTTGCTAAATAACCTTGTTGGTGCACTATATAACTCAGGTACAGTATTGTACCTTTATATAATAATTATTAAATAATAGTTAAAAATAAATATCAATTGAATTCAATTTAATAAAACTTACAAACTTTGCTCAAATACAGTGACACCTATAGGCCGGTGGCACCGGTATGTTAAAGGATAAGAGATTCTGGTGTTTAGTCTTTCGCAATCAGTTTTGTACTGTATGTGCAAAATGTAAGTGTACTGTACTTTGACTACCAGTGCACTGACGCACACAACCATCGCTGGCATCGCGGGGTGTTTGGGCTCTGAGAGTGTATGAGTGGAAAGGGATCGCGAGTCGCGAGAGGAACGGTATTACGAAGACATAGACCTCTCTCGAGCTATATATGACATAAGGGCTCGAAAATTATGATATCATATATAGTGTAAGGAGTGGTTCACTGTATTGTATAATAATATCAAACAAAATCCTATCGTATTGTGCTATACGTGTGTCGAGTGAATTGCACTCTCCTTTTGTGTCATTCACTTCCCAGTCTCTCTCATTCTCTCTCATTCTCTCTCATCTCTCTCAGTCTCTCTCGATAGTCATCTACACATACACTCTCTCTCACACTCCCTGTGTTCTTAGCACCCGGCGATAAAAGACAATCAACTTTTTTATACGCATTCACTCACTCTCTCCCCAATATATCGCTATATATATGAATTCATTCACATATTATTGGATAATAAAAAAAGGATTGAATTCTGTATACGTGTTGTAAAAATTGTTTGTAATTCTGTTGCATATTATTGTGATTATTATTATTACATTCACTGAACACATACTCACAGAGAGTGTACTCCACTCTAGAGTTCAGTTCAGTTCACTATTATATCAGTGGAAATCATCTGCGAAAGCTTTTTTCAATGGATTGTGTTTCTCTCACTCATTCTCACTCGCAGTCTCTCTCAGACTCTCTCGACGTCTCTCTCACTGAACACTGACTCTCGTTATATCGCTAATGAATGACTGACTCAATGAATGTTATGAATAGTTGTAATAATTATAATTACATACAATAATAATAAACATTTATAAAAGTTGTCGCCATAAACCGCTGAATATTACAGAATAACGTTAATTCTCGTGTTGTATGTAATGAACGCTCGTTTGATTCAAGAATATTCTGCAACACATAAACACTTACGGAAACAGATTCTGGCGATGTGTTGTGAAATCGTATAACAATTTTGCTGTATATTTACACAAACACACAGAATATTCTGTTTGTGCCACATTTGACTGTTATTGGTTGTGAATATATTATTGAATTCATTTGAATAACTTGAATACAACGTGAAGTGGACTTTATATACCGTATATAACATTCAAGTCGTAAACATACTGTTTATATTTAATACATACCATAAGATTTTGACACGATCCTAATAATATTAATAATAATCACCGAGAAATTTTCATAACGAGAATATTTTGGTAAAATGTAAGTAAATAATATTTAATACATTTATTTATTGCATATTTTATTGGCATTAAAGTTTATGTGCTTTTGTCTACAGATATAATTAAAATATTTTTATATCTATTTTATGTTGATATTTATATAATGAAATATAATATTTGTTATATAACTTTAGATTTAAAGTACATTTAATTAAATTCCAACAGAAAAAATCATACAAATTATTAACATATTTCATACAAATTTCTCATTTTTCAATTAAATTCAATGAAAAGATTATTTAATTAAAAACATATTTTGTGTTCAAATTCCGGAAGTGCTTTAAAATAGTGAGAAAAAGTTTATTTAATTAATTTTAAACTAAAATTTTCTTTTTCATTAGACATTATATTTTGAAAACCAAAAAAAATTAATTATAAAATAGAAACCAGAGACTGAAAAAATGGCAAAAATAATATTTTAATTAAACAAATCATTATTTGCGAGACAAAAAAATCTCTTAACTTTCATTTTCAATGCAAACACACATCTAATGCTGTCTTTCAGTATGTATTTGTAATACTTTTATCGCAATTCTAGTCTTGAATTAAATATAAATGAAAATAAAAGCTTTTTCCTCAACAAATGCATTACCAGTGCTGGAGTACAACAGTCTATAAGATTAGACAAAAAAATATATTATACATATTAAACGGAAATAACACATAGCGTGTGTTATCTCTGAATAGAAATTAATATTTTTTATATACTTTTATAAAAAGCATTTTTTCATTGATAAGAGACTCTGCGGTAGTTTTATGTCAGAATAATATAATCATATTTTATATTGACAATTTAATTATTTATAATATAATAATATGCATCAAAATAAATATACTAGGAATTATTTATATTATTTCCTATTCGCATGGCTTTTGTCAATGAGTTTTATATTAATTTAAGAAACGCTTGCATTTGATTACATAATAACTGAGATATAGATATCTTGAGAGTTATTTACAATATATTCGTGCAAATATCATACGAAAGTACAGTAAACTATATATCGATATTACATAATACGAATAGTTTGCACAAGCTATTTATGGCAAAGTATATAAATTATAAATGTGAAATACATATACAATTGAAATATGGAAACTACTAATAATAACCAGACGTATTCAATAATTGATTGGCAAATATGTTGGCTGAATATCAACGGAAAAAATAGTCAATAACTCGTTAAACTGTTCAAATCCTAAGCCATTTTTGTATCCCAATGAATATTCCTGTTTATAAACACTAGAGTTTCCGGAATTGTATGCCTAGTATTGAGTGGAAAAATAAACAAATACTAGACACGAAAAATATTGTCTGTTTTTGTCATTACATTCAATGTAAATGGCATCGAAATGATAAGAGAAAATTAAAGGGATATCTCTCTCCTAGTCAATAGGAAAGCCATAAAAAATGTATACATCTTTGTGTTTGTTGTAAATAAAAGATTAGATCGTTTTGAGATAACAATTAGTAAACATTAGATACGAGGTATTTTTTGTGTGACTAATTTCTACGTAAATATATTACTTTCCGTATTGTATTTGATATTACATTACAGTATACTGTATATAATGTTACAGAATATTCTCTATTTGCTATAAAGTTACATGCAATTAGTTTCGTATTACATAACAATGATTTTCAGTGTTAACTAATTAATATGGTAATACAATTATATACGATTTTAATTCCCCCCTAAAACTAAATATTATAATATATATCAAGTATACAAGTATAATATATATAACAAGTATTAATTAATGCATAGACACGCTATAATACGATTTGATGGGAAACTATATTTTAAATTTTTGTTTTTATTTTGGCTTTTGAATGTCAACAGATCTTTTTGATTAAAATTTATTTTGTTTTTATTTGCATCCAGTATACCTAGTAGTAAAATGTAAAATATTTTGCTTTTTTGAAATAGTATGCAAATTACTATAATTATAATTGATTGACAACCGCTGTTACGGTATATACAACACATTATAAGACTTTTATATTACAGTGTAGAAAATTATTGATAGGCTAAATATTCAAGGGGTAAAATTGTTGTAGTCATACATCAGTTATATGGTGAACGTGTAGGGTATGCATAATTTTAGTGATTTTAGTTTTACATTATTTTAATACAGTATATTTAAATAATCTTATTTTTTAAAAACAGTAAAAGTGATTAATTCTGTATAACTATTGTGAATATCAAACATGATTTAAAATGTATGCTTAATAACGATTAAATATTTCGTAATAAAAATCGATTAAATTTTAATTAAAACTTTTATAATGCTGTATATAAGTGAACGCTATTAATTATACGATATGTATTAAATTAAATATTTTTGTTTGCATAGCGATGTGGAAAATAATACAACAAGGTAGTGCATTTATCAAAAATTTTGTGTACACTTTAGGGAGCTTTCAATAACACTTTTGGATAATTTAAAATATAGTATATAACACGACATAAGGGTATTTATGAAAGGTATTGCATAATATCTACACTAAACCCATTACGACACACAGAATATTCTGTGTATACAATGCAGTGATAACAGGAATTGTGTGCAAAACACACGAGAGAATTGCATTCTCATAACAAACACTGTTTTCGTCATTTGATGTGTGAATTAGGAGTAAAATAAAACAATTCCTGTAAAATCTTTGGTCTAAATTATTTTCGCAGAATATTCCCTACATTTCGGTGCAATTTAGTAATAAAAAATGTTTGCGTGGAAAGGGATTGGCGAGGGAATGGGAGAATGAAAATTTATTTTGAAATACAATTCACATGAGATGTGATTTAGTGTTAAATTT